ACCGCGGCACATGCCTCCCCATATGATGCATAGAGGTCCACCTCCAGGCCCAGGAGGCTTTGGGATGCCTCCACCTCATGGGATGAAGGGCCCTTTCCCACCACCTGGTCACTTTGTGAGGCCTGGTGGACCAGATGATAATAGAGATGGAAGGCAATTTAGGAATGATAGGCAACCCTTCAATCCAAACAGAGACCAGGAAAGATTCGGAAGGAGGTCTTTTGGAAATCGAATAGAAAATGAGCGTGAGCGTTATGGTAACCGCAATGATGATAGGGAACATGAGCGACTTGGTAATCGTGAAAGGAGAGAATGGGGAGGAAGAAGAAGCCCTGAACGTGATAGACACAGAGACTTGGAGGAAAGAAATAGGCGCTTCAGTGGACAGAGAGAGAGAGATTCTAGGGATAGGGAGTCTCGCAGAGAAAAGGACGAAAATCGAGGAAAGGAGAAACCTGAGTTGACAGACAGGGTAGATGGCATCAAAAACCATGAATCCCAGAGTGGCAAAGCGGAAAACACAGACACTGTTTCAGAACTTAAAGGGGAGTCTGAACCCACAGATGCAAAGCCTGCTGAAGAGTTAACATCGGAGGCTACCTCATCTCTTGAACAACCTGAAAAGTCTACTGGCTCAGTTGTAGAGACACCTCGCTAGGGACTGGAATTTTTGTCAAAAAAAGTGACATTGGAGTGTAGAGCTTTAGAGTTGTACAGTATGCTGTATATTGCTTCTGCTATATCACAACTCCATAGTTTATGGGGCTATGTAAGCAATTTAATTGCTTTCCTTCTATTTAAAAGTTACAAAATAACACAAAAAATGAATAAACCATTGCCCATTTTTGCTGTAACTTTTTTAAAGTTTTGACTTGAAAAAGTTTACAAGTCAGAATTAGAAGTGCTTTCTATTTTTTTTTTTTAATTTAAGTGAAGGTAACGGTGAAAGATCCTCAAGACAAATAGGGATGTGTTTTTAATAAACTCTATTTTCGTAACAAACTTTAATGTGTGCTATTCTTCCTACACTGCACTGAAGTGGTAAAGGATTGTTCAACATCTTAAAGTTTGAACTGTTAATGCTGTATTGGAGTCTAAATTAGACTTTGTTTAAATTTGTTAAACATGTTTGTATAACAGTTCACAGAAGCTAAATATTTGTAGTAGTTACATTCTTAGATTTCTGCATTTTAATTATCTACATGACTATATTAGATTAAAAAATAGCTTTAAATGTTGTTTTAAGACAAATTTTAGTGTTTGCAGTGGAATCAACTTTTATTTTTGCTTTCTCTCCCCCAATCCAATTGATGCTATGGTAAAATGTTGCCCTAAAAATGAACTTCCTGATAAAGTGAGATCTCAGATGAACTTCCTGATTAAGTGAGATCAGCATATTTTTGTAATTGAATCCATTGGTGTATTCCGTGGAAGCAAGGTGAAAAGGGCACCTCAGATTTCCACTGTATTCTAATATGTGTCATGGGTAACAATATTTGAAAGCAGATTGTTTTGCCTACCCGACTACTTCATAACCTGGTCATACCACCTGTCCAATTACTTTTAACTAAAGAAATAAATACTGAATATATTATGTCCTATACAGCAGTTTTAAAAATGCAGTCAGTACTAACAAATGGCAGCAAGCATGAAGAACTGTACACTTCCTGTTTCCATAATTAACCCCATGCACCAAGGTGAGACCCTGACTCTTATTAGTTGCAACAGACAACTGAAGCTCTTCTGCTTTGAAAAACAGCTTCCAGTTTTGATTTTCTGTATGTTTGTTCTGGTGAGACATGGCAAGTTCAGGAGCAGCTCCCATTTAGGCAAACATGGATTTGTTTCCATTGTTCAAAGGCGGGGATTTAAGAAACATTTTTCTTGCAATAGTAGAATAAAAAAACTTCATATACTTGTGAAATCAATTTCCCTGTGTTGAACTTTTGTTTCCATACTATTTTCTATTACTCAAAAACTAATTTAACACCACTACCTACATTCGTATGAAAAGGGTAACTGAGTATTCAATAGGTATCGAATACAAATAAGCATACAGCTGTCTTTAAAGGATTGCGAAAGTCCTATTTAGTCTGTTATTTCAAAGCCATGTGTGAAACAAAGCCATTCATGGTCTTTGGTAATTATGCTTTGAAGGAGAACTCAAGGCATAAAATACTGGCAATGTTATTGCCAGTCTTGATCATGAGTACCAGCTGCATTATCCAAATGCAAGATTGCCAATGAATGGTTTCAGGAAAGGATTTCTTTCCAATCTTAGACACAAAAGTCTTCAAGTCTGCATGAGTGCCATTAAGTTGCCAACAGTTTTGTAGACCAGCTACAGAATCGAGATGGAAGGGACCTCCAAGGTCATCTAGTCAAAAAACCCCTGCACAATGTAGGGAATTCACAAATCCCCCCTCCCCCCCGGTGATCCTTGTTCCATGCCCAGGAGATGGCCAAACTGGCAATCAGCATTTCCCTGGGCATGTAAGAAAGGGCCACAAGAACTAAGCACTGAGGTGAGGTAACCCTTCCTTCTCATGATCTGCCTAAATTCACAGAATCCACATTGCTGCCTCTGTTTAAAAACCTCCAAAGAAG